GAATTCATCCTATGGCTCAGATTTATCATGCACAGGTGGCAGGTTAGAAAACTTAGACGAGGAACATGGAGAAAAGTGGACATACGGCTGTGCAAGAAGATGGCTGGTAAATGCAAGAGGGATTAGGGTATTTTTAGAGGCAGAAATTGGACACACGGGAGAATTTGTCATTATGGTGGAAGGATGTAACACTGGTTAATCCAAGCATGGAAAAATTTGTTTAATTTGATATAATTAAACATATATATAATCTCTGGGAAGATAAATTCAATAGCACAAATTGGTGAATATTACGAATATACTAAAATTACGTGACTTCTGAGGTAAATAGGTAAAATTATTATTTTCAAAGAAAAATGATTTTTCACTTTGGTCTGCTCCTATTCATAGGATTTTTTAAATTTCTGTTCTTATAAAATATGTACTTAAATTAATTTAAGTTAATGTATATCTGTGTGAAAAGATAAATCTACTACTAATTAGTGATGTAATTTGTACAAATTAAAAAATTAATATGATGCCCATGAACCCTTCTCAATTCTCAGTAATGAGTGAAATGTATGTGAAGGCAAGTGAAAATGTCTTATTTTAGGTCAAAAATTAAATACTTTATTTTCAGGTATTACAGTATTATTTAATCTATTTTAATGTAAGTACACAGTGCAGACATTTTTTGCTTTAATTACTTTTTTTCAATAGAAAACACAAAGAAAACTTTTTTTGTTTGGGTTTGGTAAGCTCACTTTGGGTTTGAAAACATTATTTTTCTTTTCCAGAATACCAATACAAAGTAATGGGGAAACCCAGGAAACCTTATTTAAAAGAGAAAGAAATGGCTCTCACAAAGCTGTTTTTAACTTATGTAGGTACTTAAAACACAGACTTACATTGGAGTGACATTTTCAGATACCTATAAACGCACACAAAAGCAATCATACGATTTTTAAAATCCCACCAGACACCATCTATATGATTAAATATATAAATACTTTTGAAAGTTTGATCTGTTGTTTTCAGAAACTGTATTAAACATAGATAAAAATTGTTTTCTGTAATAAATCAGTCATTTAACATGCAAATATATTTGATACACTTTATTGTTCATTTGTGTCCATCATAATTCATGGTACCTTAATTAATTCAGGAAAAAGACTTAAAATTTCACTGTATGTTTTGAGTTGCACTCTAGTTTCTATTCCACTTGAGAGAAAACACAAATAATTAAAAAAAAAATGTGAAATTTTAAGCATTTTCTACCACAAACCAAGTTTAAGAATCTAAATAAATAACTTTGAAACTGGATAAACCCTTAAACAATTATTTTCATATATCACATGTCAACCTGACAAGCAAAGAAGACATCTTTGTGCTGCTTGTAAATCTGTTTATCTAGAAGATTATTTCAGCTGATAAAAATGGCCCTTTCTTTCTGGAAGCAAAATACAAATGCAAAACAAAATTAGCATCAATTATCTAAATCAGCAATTCTTGCTTGCTGATCTAAATCATGATTAAAATGAAGGATATAAACCAGCTTAATTCAAAGAAATATGCCTTACATATGAGTACTTGATTAAGCAGTGTTAATGATCAATTTATGTGACATTTTTGCATTCAAATGTCATTGTTTTCAAGAGGAATATATAAGGTACTAATTTTTGCTTCTCAAATATTTTTCCCATCATAATTTTTTTTCAAACCACAGGTACACTCAGCCTATGTTAACTTTGGTTGCATTAAATGCTTGATTAGCAAAACAGTGAATATATTCTCTAAAGTTATATTAAAGATAAGGTCTTGCATACCTTCCCTAAGTGTTACATCAGCTGAACATGTGGAAAGGATCACACTTGACAACTAGCTTTCCCT